CTACGCAGACGGACCGAGAGCTGTTGGAAAAAGGAGCGGAACAGTGCCACTTCACCTCCGCCATTCTTCGCAGTATCAATCACGAAGATGGGCGTGAGGCAGGTACTCCCTATCTTACGGATGGAGACGGCAACTGCTTGTTGAACGCCGTGGCCATGCTGCTCGTGAAGAAGCAACCACGTGGGGACAGGAACGCCGTGAAGACGATGGCAGCTCAGCTCCGGCTGGGGATTGTCGTGGAAGGCTTGCGCAACATCGAGGTGTACCTCGATCGCCAGTATGAGTTCTACGGCACGTGGTACAACTATGTGGATCAGGTGGTGTTCGACCTGAAGAGGTGTGGCTGGGTGGTGGACGCAATGCCGGAGAACCGTTGGCGAATGGCGTCGCGTGACTGCGCACGGCTGGTGTTCTTAGGATGTCTGCACCACATCGCTCGGGATAAAGTATTCCTCCAGCAGTTCGTGCTTCCTATGCTGGCCACCGTCATCCGGGGACCTGTCCGCGTATTTGTGCCATGTGAGGCTCTCAATTCTTTAGGAATTCTCACGGCGTATTTCTTTCTGTTGGCATTGGCGTTTAAATTTTGAATTCGGTTAATTTTTAATACCGTCATTCCCGTTCCACGTTTCAGTTCCATGAGCAAAACCATCTGCGCGTGTTCGATTGGTGTTTTACGTTCGTCGCTAGTTTTCATCACTAGCTTTGCACGGGGGTCACCCGATAATGGCGGCAGACCTGCCGGCGTGAGGGCGCACGCGAAATTATCGCGAAGCTACGTGTGATTTCTTGTTGACGGCTTGTTGGAATTCCTCGCGTGTCGGTTGCATGCCATAATTCGCAGTCACCAGCGTCCAGAACGTCAACGGTGGAGAGTGGCAGTGGACCCTGTTCCAACCGCTGGTCGCACCGGACCCGGGACGTCAGACCGTTCATGTTGTTATGACGTATGTTTCGAGCGCGGACTACAGACCCCAGTTCAGCGACGCCCACGAGTACAAACGTCTCAACGGTGGCCGCATCAGGGAGTTGAACCACTTCGTGGCTCTGTCTCACGACAACACCGCGAAAAATCACGAAGCTGCTGTCACGAGGATGGCCGGTGTTGTGCGCTTGGCACAAGACGACTGCAAGGAGTCGGAGGCGAGGCTCAAGGAAGCTGTAGGGGACTCGGGTGGTTCACCGTCGGCTCCTCATACCTGCACGGAACTGGCGGACGCGCAGGGCAAGGTGACATCACGCACAAGTACACGTTGTTCATTTCCCGCGTTGCGAATGGCACGTAGCGTTTCATTGTGTTGCCTGCCCGCGTCCCGGTCTACCCGTGCCGATGTTGTTCTCCCCGTCACCGCTTCCCGGTTCTCTCCGTTGCCTATACCGTTGCCACGGCGTTGAAAAATATGCCAACGTCCGAACTCCAGGCGCAAGAGCAGCTCAGGCGGAGGCAGGCCGCTTACAGTTGTATAACGGGCACGTACTTCGCGAGTGTCGACCTTCATTCGTAGGTAGCGGTGCGGCGCAGAGGTGTGCCTCAACGCGCGTTATTCCAGACCGACGTTCCATCCGTTCTTTGCCCCATTTTGTGCCGGCCGTTGGAATTCGAGGCATTGTTGGGATGTGTTACGGTAGCCGACAGGGAGTTAGAGGCCGATTGCAATTAGGCAGACCGACCTAACGAGAACTGGACGGCGTAGGGACCTTGTGACAGTTTTGGAAATCCTGAGTGAAATGCTTCTTCCTACGGTATGGCGTTGACGTTTACCCGATGCGAAATTTCTACGGCGTCCGCAGACCCCGCTGGCTTCCGCGGCGGAGGTAACCGCGTTGGAGAAGGAGTGCTTCAACAAGCGGCAGGTGGGTCTTTGGGGCTTGGGTGTCGAAGAAGTGGGCAAACAGGAAGGTGATCGCATTCAGGTGAAATGCAGCGGCGATTCATGTCTGTAGCCTTGTCATTGATCCCGTTCACCCCCCGTTTGCCG